GGACATTCACTTTATCCTTTAAGTCAGTGTTAATGACCTAAGATGGGTCATCTTGCACTAAGTTAAGTTGTATGAGCTTTAAATTGTTCTCGTATAATCACTTGGACAGCTAAAGATTACTGGCTCGAACCTAATTTTAAGGAACAAATAGTCGATATATTAAGTCAAGTCATATGAGCTTTAAATTGTTATCATATAATCACTTGGACTACCAGAGATTACTAGCTCGAACCTGATTTTAAAGAAAAAATGGTCAATACATTATAGCTTGTACGCATAACCTCATCCATAATGTCGAAGATATCATAAACTTGATTTCTATCAAGTCCATTAGGGGATCTAACCCCCAACCACAAATCCAAATCGAGTTCCAGATGGGTAGAAAGATTGTCCTTATGTCTCTCTTGCAATTAGATGTTATATGTTCATTGAAACAAATTCAGCAAATTAAAAAAAAATAACATAAAAAATTATTAAAATGCAACTTATTATGAACTTTTGAGCTTGGTTATTAATAAGTTGTTGCACCCATTTCTAATGGTCTTTATTTTGTATGTGAGTTTTAATAAAAGCTTCACTGGTCTAGATTGTGTCTAAGCACCATAACTTGCAAGAAAGCTACCATTAGTTAAATATTCTCATATAAACAACAATTAAAAAAATATCTTATAAAATAGAATCTTATAATTTGTTTTGCATTCAATACAAATAGAATGGATTCATTAATTATGTGGTAATGGAACCATGAATCTCCTTGTTTTGGTTCTTTACACCAGATGACAACCACCGTATGAAATGTTTAGATGTCATGTGCTAGATATAAGTATCCTAAATAGCCTCTATGACACGTGGAGGTTTGAAATCCCTCCACACTGGCATGTCTTTCCAGACTAAAAAACCCGTTTCTTTTGCATATTTCTTTGGTTTTTTTGCGTCTCATATAAAAAATCACGCAACCTAGTTCTTAAAAAAATTACATTTCATCATGATTATGAAAAATTAAATTTAAGCATTTAAAAAAATATATCACATTTTGAATTCAATCTTATCTAATGATGTTGTAATTCTCTCACAACCTCCTAATAATATTATTGTCAGCCTCTTTCTAGAAAAAAATTTCCTTCCATATCAATTTTATAAAATAATTAGTTTATTAAAATTAAAAAATTGAATAAATTAAATAACAAAAAAAAATATTTAAAAATATAAACTAACCTTGAACTTTATGAGTCAAGTATCAATAATAGGCTTACATTCAAGATTTTTAAAAACCTAACTCCACTAGAACAAAGACATTTCTATCAACGATTTCATCATCGATGTTATCATGTTAGCAACCTCCACATTTATAAACCTAAAATTTCATTCGTTCATTGAAATTAATTATTTAAAAATTATTTATTATTGTTTATTTTTTAATCGTGCAGGAAAGGAGAACAAACTTACATGTTTTGGTCGAGCTTTCACTGATCATTATACTTCCTAGTATATATATCCTATGAAAAAAGGATATCCGCTTTACAAGGTGGCCTCGCACTTGACGAGCCTGCGTCGAGAAAGGGAGTTTGTGCTCGAGGTGCCTAATTATGGTTGACACTTAACAACTTATGGCATCACAAGCACTACTAAAAAAAAACAACGCTTTTTATATGTATCACTTATTAATGACCTTCTCTTCGTCATCTAAACAAATTAAGTATAAAAAAAGTAATTACATTATCATTATACCCTATTTAAAAAAAATTAATAATATCTCTCGTATATAGGAGAATACCAAAACATTTATTACCTACAAATACGCATCAATAAATAAACTTACAAATAAGTTGATTTTATTTATGACTACTATTTAATTTATTTATTTAAAAAATGACACATAAAAATCATAATATATCAATTGACCCCTACATTATCCATGGCATATCAACTCTATTATATAAAAATAATGCTAGCTCGATCATTGATTAATAAATTTATTGGAGAATTTTAAACTAAAAATAACTAAATAGTTTAAAATATCACATATCCAAAATTTAATTCTAAATCACATCTTAGGCACATATAAATCTTAATAATTAAGTTTGAAACCCTTGCAATATATAAGATGAAACACATATTATTCAATTAAATTGAATTTTGTTTACATTACCAAAATTGTTACTTCAAAAACAAATCCCCTCGCTTTCAATTTTGTTTACATGACCGACAATATTATTAATTATGCTGCCAAATTCCCACCAGGGTTGAAGATTATGAAACTCATATTATTTAATGCAAAAGCAATCCTATGTTTAAGATACTAGAAAACAATACTATCCTAAGACAAATTCTTTATAAAACATGATGTTTACTTAAGTTTAATATATTCACAAGATATTCTTCTTGAACAATGATTATTTATAATATCTTACAATATATATTATCATTATTGTCATGAGCAGTTATAAAAACTATATCATAAAAATAATAATTCCAAGAAATCAAAATTACTCTTGATAAATAAATTGTCTAAAACTTCAATTTATTTTGGAGATTAAAATACATAAATTATGTTATAAGAATGTCAACATTCTAATTTGGTCCTATGTTTTCATTGCATTCCCTAAATTTTGGGATTTTCAATATTCATTTAATTTGAATTTGAATTTTAGATTTTAGATTTTAGTTTAATCCCTAAATGAACTAATCAAACCCTAAATTTGGATGTTTCTTTTTATATGCATGACATTCAAGTTATTCAAGTTATGACAGAGGAGATTAATTTTCTTTTTATATGCATGACATTCAAGTTATGACAGAAAAGATTAATTTTCCAATAAGAAAGTTCTTGAAAAATACTTCACTTTATCCAATTATGAGTCACACCAAAACTAAGAAACTTCTGCTTATCGAATTGAAAACCAAACATAATACACTTTTACTACAAGACCACATCACACAATTCTTCACTTAACAGTACGGAAGGTGCAACATCCTTTTTAAGCAACATCCTTTTTAACTTTACCTACAAAGAATATATTTTTATTCTTTTTATACTTGTGATTGGGTTGGCAAGAACATCCGATGAAAAAAAAAGACCTTTTACGACTATTTATTAAGGTAAAGGCCTTGTTATTTTTCATAAAATATAGACATGTTAATATTTCATGCGTGCTCTAATTAGAAACCATCACATACACAGGAAAATCATTGATAGTCCACATCAAAATCGCTTTAATGCAAAAATTATGTTTCCTAAATACATCATACATCAAAGTCTCGGGTGACAAAAATTGATTCAACTCATCAATCAATAGTTGAAGATAAACATTTATATTCCTACCTAGACCATTAGGATTAGGTATGACTGGATAAGAATATGAACTTTAGCCTCATACACATCTTTAACAACAAGTTCTAAACCATGATTATCACTAGTCAACAAGAATATGATGCAATAAATGACCTAAATGGATTGAATCTATTTATACATAACTCAACACGTACATTTTATTGTTCTATTGAAAACTTAAGATGTATCCTATTAAATTACTTTCAGGCTTTACCATTAGAAAAGTACATAATGACTTCATCTATTACAATATGTGAATAATACCATGTCATGTGATCAACAATCTTTAGACAGATGAATAACCTTTACAGTTTAGGAGTGATTGAGAAGTATTTTAGTTTTTTATATGCTACAAGAGTCTTTTCCCAAATAGTTCTAGGTTTATATTAAGCATGCCTATAAGTTATACACTTGGTCAAATAAACAATACAAGTTGCAGAAGTTTGCATGCCTATAAGTTATACACTTGGTCAAATTTGCATTTTCAAAACAATACAAGTTTTAGAAGTTTAGACACTTCTTAATTTTTTAATATCCCAAACAAAGGGATTTTATATGGATTTAGCAATATAGAAATTTAAATATTACTAACAGATTCATCAACAAGTATCAACGATAATTATATTTCATTGGTAATTTCATTTGTAATATGAACACATTATTTTTTTTTTATTATTTCTTGTTTTCTAACTATAATCCCCTTGGTATTTATTGATGAAAACAATGACATCATTTTGTATTGGTAAATATCACTATAATTTACCAATGTATTTTTTCTATTAGTATTTCCATTTTTATTTGACAAATTAATAGGTAGTAATTTAATAATAATAATAATAATAATTTTTAGTTTGAATAAATAATTATGTAATTCTGTATTTTAGAAGTTAAAGGGTGAAACTATAATTATGACTTATGTAATTCTTTAAAGGTACAAAGAAAAGATAAAATATGAAGATGGTTTTTTGTTTTTCTGTCTATTGAAAGACTTTTTGCATTTCTGTATTTTTTAGTATCAAAATGTATATGTGCATTTGTGTGCAAGGTATGAGTGTGTTAATTTCTGTGACATGTGAGGGTTAGAAAATCATCAATAAATTATTAAAATTAATGTTTTTAAACTAAATTAAATAATTTATCATCATTTATATATATATATATATATATATAGTAACAGTCACATATTTTAACCAAATTACTAAGTTATTTCATATCAACTTTAATTTTTTTTTATATAAATCAAAATATTATTAATTTTATAAAAATAAATAAATAAATCGTTATTTATATTTCAAAAATAATTATGTAGGTATTAAAAATTACCAACAAAACTGCTAGTAAATATCCAAAGTAACAAATCTAGCTCCTTTTAACCGGTTGTTATCATCATCATGACCATAATTATTAGGAAAAGCTTAATAAAATTGTGAAGTAATATAAATATAGACAATCGAAAATAGCCCTAGAAGTACATTTACACAAGTGTGTGGCAAGGAGAGAATTTTGTGAAAGGGGCTAAAAGGCACACCTTAAAATAACAAACAAACCTTCATGACATGTCATGGAGTGCCAAGGATCGGAGTATAACAACCACGAAAGCAAAGCCAAGGCCACAGAAAACGGTTTCATTTATATTTGTATCTGTCATTTACTATCATCATCCCATTTTCTTCTCCTCTTATTCCGCTACTAAAACTTCCTCCTCCTCCTCCTCCTCGTCGCACCAAATCCTCAGCAGAAGATTTCCTGCTCGTGCATGTGTCTAAGATATGAAGGGACTCTTCAAGCCAAAACCCCGGACTCCCGTGGAGCTGGTGCTCCAAACACGTGATCTTCTAATCTTTCTTGACCAGAATACCGAAACTCGAGAACGCAAGCGCGAGGAAAAGGTACGTTCAGTATGCACTGATTATTCTTTCTTTCTCAATTTTTTTAGATCGATGTCTTATGGAAAATTAATAATGATGAGCAGATGTCTGAGCTGAGCAAACAGATTCTGGAGATGAGGATAGTTTTATTTGGGAATGGACAAGCAGAGCCGAATCCTGATGCATGCGCGCATTTGGCTCGGGAGTTCTTTAAGCATGATACGTTCCGCCTTCTCGTTGTTTGTCTTCCAAAACTTGACTTGGGGGTAAGCTCATCAACCAAATATATATTATTTCTTTAATTATTATTATTATTATTATTATTATGTTATGATTGATGAGACCGGTTTTGTGGATTTCATGAGCACCCTTTGTTAATTTCAGGCACGTCAAAATGCTACTCATGTTCTAGCAAATTTGCAGAGGCAACGAGTTGGTGGGCGGTTGATTGCTTCCGAGTATCTGGAAAATAATTTAGACCTCATGGATGTTTTGCTCCCTGGGTAAACCAAAAATAAATAAATAGACTTTTGTTGTCAAGAAACAATACTTGTGGTTGTGATGTGTTAATTTTTTTAATTTTTCTTACTAATTTCCTACTAATGTGATTAGTTATGAAGATGGTGACATTGCTCTAACTTATGGTGCAATTTCGAGGGAGTGCATTCGTCATCAGATTGTGGCTATGTAAGTTATATGATTTGGATTTTTATTTTTTATTATTTGAATCTGTGAAGTCTTATCAGCAATGTGTTTACTGGTGCAATGATGAACGTTTTCATTAGCCATGTGTTTACTGGCTAAGGTTCAGATTTTGTTCCTGGTCAGTTTGTTAGTCTTTAGAGACATTGGAAGGTTAATTATAGTTGAAATGAAGGCCGGATTCTTTTGCTGCAGAAAACTGAGGTGCTGATCTTGTTGTTGCTTGTTGTTGCTTATTGTAGGAAATTTCTAGGCATAGTTGACCCTCTTAAATGAATATTATTATTCAGATTAAATTCAAACTAGTAATTAGTATTTGGTTTTGCCTTGCAATCTAAGACGTAGTCCAGAAAGTTCATGAAGATACGAAATGCACTCCCTCCAAACTTGTAGCACAAAGTTGTAGGCATTTTGTCTTTCTTCCCTCAAATAGAGGAAGTGAAGTAAATTGAGGACATCAGAGGTGTATGCCAAGGGTAGCCGTGTTACCATTTTTCATTTTTATTCTGTAGTTCGACCACACTAGCTTCGGAATTGTCAAATATGGCTTAATTTCTGCATTAGCACAATTAACGTGATTTATTTCAATAAATCTTATTGATTTCTCAGGTACGTATTGGGATCAGAGTACATGAAGAAATTTTTTACCTACATACAAATTCCAAATTTTGACATAGCATCAGATGCTCAGTCAACTTTTAAGGTATGGTGAGCAGCTCTTTTACTTATTTATGTTCTTACATCTAAAATTGATGTGCGTATCGTGCAGGCAGAAAACTACTGCTTTTATTCTTCATAGACTAAGTGATTACCTATTTGAAGTATTAGATCCATTAATGCATTTTTTTCGAATCCATCTTAGAAGCCTTTGCAGCTGTTCTTACCATCAAAATATTTATGTAAATGATAAATTTGCAGGATTAAGAACTTCAGGATAAGTTTGTATCAGGAACATAATTTCTACTAGTCCTTACATGTGTTCATTGAAACCTTAGCAGGCAAAAAACCTTCGACCTCCACAATAACCATATTTTCTTCTTTGTTTTACTGTCTTCGCTATCTTCTACCTATGGAGTTGGGATCAAGCATCTAGCTCAAATGGCCTACTATTTATCTATCCATCATCCTATGGCCTTGCCAGTTTTAACCAGAATGTTTTGTGTTTGGATTTCTTGATGCATGCAATAACTTATTTATCTATAATCCACACTCGGATTATGTTTTAATATGTCAGTTCTATCAATAATCAGTATATTTGCCTAATGTTGTTCGTGGAACTTGTTATTTTGTACTATTGTTCTTCATATGTTTCTAATTTTAGGAGTATGATCACTGACCCACTGCCATATTTTCACAGGAGCTCCTGACAAGGCATAGATCAACTGTTGCAGAATTTCTTTCTGCAAATTATGACTGGGTAAGTAGTATAATCAATATCTCCTTTCTAGTCCAGTGAGGTTTACCTATATACATATATTACAGCAACTTGTAAAGTCTTCTCAAAGAACATGAATAGTGGATGATCCAATACAGCAGAGTGTCAACTAGTTTCACTGCTAAAATCAACAGCACTTAAGACATTGAACTGGAGGTAGATTCAGAGAAATTTCATTATTGCCATTCATCCCTTACATGTTCATAATAGTGATCTTATTAAACAATATTGTTCCTAGGATCGGTGAAACTTCGTAAACAAATGATTGAGTTAGCTAGCAAGAGGTTTTCATTTACAAAGTGTAGAATTGTTAGGAGTATGAAAATGATTTTTTTTTTCTTTTTAATGCTTGAGTATAGTATGTATATATCCAGATATAGGATTAATCTAAATCCTTAAAATGAAGCTATAATTGAATGCATATAAATTAGCCCTGCAATCAACCTTATAACCGATAGCTCTATATAGTTGACTTGCTATATTTAGAATAATAATCAATTCTATAATTGATTTATTATATTTACAACAGTCTCACTCAAGCTGGAGCATATATGTTAATTATGCCTAGCTTGTTACAAATATTTCAAGCTGGAGCATATATGTTAATCATGCCTAGCTTGTTACAAATATCTTCAATCCTAGGATCACTCAAAGTTTTAATGAAGATATCACCCAACTGCTCCGTAGTTTTGACATAACTAGTAGAGATCAAATTTTGCTAAATTTTCTTGCCAATGAAGTGACAATCAATTTTAAATGTTTAGTGCTTTCATGAAAAACTGGATTTGATGCAATGTGACAATCATAACTTCATAGGTAATGAACTACCAAGATCAATCTCATTGAGTAATTGTTGTATCCATATAAGTTCAAACGTGGATTATGTCATGGCTCTATATTCTGATTCAGCACTGGAATAAAAGACTATATTTTGCTTCTTACTTATCCATGACACCAAGTTTTTCCTAACAAAAACACAATAACTCGTAGTAGATCTTTTATCAATATTAGAACCTGCCCAATCTGCATCTGAGAAGCATTCAATATGAGTATGACCATGATTTCTATACCATATGCCACGTCCTGGAGCTCCTTTAAGATAACACAAAATCTGTTCCAAAGCTGCCCAATTGGTGGTTTATAGGGAAGACATGAACTGGCTCGCAATGCTAACAGGATATGCAATGTTAAGACAAGTCATCGTTAGATAATTTAACTTGCCAACTAATCGACGATACATCTTAATATCTGCAAACAACTCACCATCTTCTACGGTAAGTTGTGTGTTGGTGACCATTGGTGCACTACAAGGTTCAACACCTAACCTTCCAGATTCTGTCAAAAGATCAAAAATATACTTTCTTTGAGATAGAAAGGTAACCTTCTTACACTTTGTAACTTCAATACCTAAAAAATACATTAGCATCCCCAAGTCTTTAGTTTGGAAATTTGCTTGAAGAAAACACTTAAGAGCTAAGATGCCTTTACTGTCACTACCAGTGATAACAATATCGTCAATATACACAACCAACAAGATAAGGTCAACTTCAGATTGTTGAAGAATACTGAATGATCACACTTACTTTTCTTCGTACCAAATTCTTGAATAATCTCACTAAATCACCCAAACCAAGCATGTGGATTCCATTTTAACCCATACAAGGACTTTCTAAGTCGACAAACCTTATTAGACTCCCCTGAGCAACAAATCTAGGTGGTTGCTCAATATACACTTTTTCTTCTAAATCACAATGAAGAAATGCATTATTGATAATTAACTGGTGTAAAGGTCAATCATTAGTAGAAGCAATAAACATAAATAAATGAATAGATGCAAGTTTAGCCACTGGAGAGAAGGTATCAGAATAATCTACTCCTTATGTTTGAGCATATCCTTTCATAAGGAGACAGATTTTGAGACAAGCCATAGACCCATCAGGATTGACCTTGACAATATACACACATTTACAAACAATACTTTGTTTTCTTACTGGTAAGTCTATGAGTTTCCAAGTGTCATTATTGTCTAAAGCTCTCATCTTTCTTTTATAGCAGCTCGCCAACCAAGATGAGACAAAGCCTCAACTAAAGTTTTGGGAATAGATACAAAGTCTAAAAAAGTAACAAAGCAACACAAAGAAGGAGAAAAGTATATATATAAAAAGCAAACGATGAGATAGGATGAGTACATCGTCTTTTACCTTTACAAAAAACAATAAGAAGATCAAGACTAGGATCTATAAACGTAGAAGCTGGTAGAGGGCGTGAGTTGTATGATGGAGGATGTCGAGAATGCACTTGAGTGATGACTGGTGTTATGAGAACTAGGTCATTTGAGGAAGCATGGTTAATAGTAGTGGTAATATTGTACACTAGAATATTATCATTCTCCTCCTCACAATTATAAATTTTTGACATGGGAAAGAATGGAATAGATTCAAAAAATGAAATATTAGAAGACACCAAATAACGACCCAACTCAGGAGAGTAACATTGATACCCTTTCTATAGACGAGAATACCCTAAAAATACATTCAGAGACTTAGGATCTAGTTTAGACACCTCAAGCCGAACATCACAAATAAAACAAGTACAATAAAAAATACGTAGTTCAATTGGAAATAAGGAATGAGAAGGAAACAAAATAGAATGAGGAATAGCACTAACCAAAACAAATGAGGGCATATGATTAATTAAAAAATAAGCAGTCGAAACTGCATATGTCCAAAATTGTTTAGGGACATTCATTTAAAAAAGAAGGGCTCTAGCAACTTCTAGTAAATATCTATTTTTACATTCTGCAACACTATTTTGAGGTGGGATGTCAACATATAAAGACTGATGAAAAATTCCATTTTGTGACATATAGGAATTAAAAGGCTTGGAAAAATACTCTTTTGCATTATCACTTTGTAAAATGCACACAAAAACATTAAATTGAGTTTTTATTTTAGCATAAAAGACACTAACTATAAAGAGTAATTTTTACTTTTTTTCTCATTAAATATAACCAAATGACATGAGAATAGTCATCAATAAAAGTGATAAAATATCAAAATCCAGACATAGAAAGTACTCGACAAGGACCCCAAACATTAGAATGTATTAACTCAAAGGGGGATGCATCCCGTTTATTAACTCTTGGTACATATAAAGAGCGATAATGTTTGATAAATTGGCAAGACTCATAATTTAAATGAGTTAACTTTTGGAAATGAGGAAATAATTTTTTTAAAATGGGTAACGAAGGATGCCCTAACCGATAATGAGGTTTAAGAGGTGTCATAATACTGGAACAAGCAGCAAGTTTTGGTGCTTTTAGATTCGACATTTTTGATGTAGTAGTTTCAAGCACATAAAGATCAGCAGATTCATATCCTCTACCAATAATCTTCTCTTTCATAAGACCCTGAAATAAACAACAGTCAGAGAAAAATAAGACACAACAATTGAGAGCCTTAGTGATTTGACTAACAGAAAGTATATTGAAGGAAAAGTTAGGCAAACACAAGATTGAGGATAATGAAAAAGATAATGTATGAGAGATTGTTCCAGAACCACTAATAGAAGTGGTTGACCCATCAACCAAAGTAACACTAGAGAACCACTAATAGAAGTGGTTGACCCATCAGCCAAAGTAAGATTTTGAAGATTTTTAAAAGTTTTAAAAGGGAAAAGAATACCTTTGTCACCTGTCATATAGTTCGTAGTACCTGAATCAATGACTCGTTTGCTAAAGGATGACATAAGGCATATAGTGGGTTTACTTTACTCATCAATTGTAGAAGGATTGGACTTTAGTGAGCTTGGTATTGAGTGAAGCGAGCAAATTCATCAGTAGAAATAAGCACAGACTTGTCATTAGATAAAGACACTGTAGATACATAGTTGATTCCTTGAGTTGCAATATTAACAACCTAGGCTTGCTGCTGTGGTTTACCATGAAGCTTCTAATAAGTACGTCTTATATGACCAAGTTCATCAAAGTAATAAAAAAAAACCAGTTTGTTATTATCAACATTTCTACCTAAGCCACCACCACTCCAACTGCCTTGAAAACCAGTAGTCTTCCGACTGCCTTGACTATCTCGACTTCCTCGACAAGCTTCATTTGAAGTTCCACGACTCATAAGGGCACCAACAACAATAGGAGCATATCGAGATCCCTCTGAACACAAGATTCTTGTAAAGGTGTCACAAAGAATGGTTATCTTCAGACTAGAAAGAATCTATGTTTGAGCAGCATCAAATTCTGGTGGCAAACCTACAAGGAAATTCATAATAGTCATCTGCTCACGTTGAAACTATTGAGTTTTCATATTAATACTAAAAGGAAGAAGAGAATTTAGCTCCTTGTATGCCCGTTTAAAATCCATAAAATATTCAATGAAAGACCTATCTTGCTTCTCTAAGAGATAAAACTCCTTACACGCATCACATATACGAGAGATATTTTCTCTGCTAGAATATAAGAAAACCAAATAATCCAGGAGATTTTTAACAAAATCACAGTGATTAACTAAACCAATTACTTCATTATCAAAAAAATTTCGAATCTGCGAGAAAATTGCGGCATCATCTCTCAACCATGCCTTCTTTGCTGCAGCATCAGATGGTGGATCATCAACAAGGTGATCATCTTTATCAATACTACGAAGATACACTTGCACTATTTTGCTTTAATTCAAATAGTTGGTATTATTTAGTTTGTGCTCTGTGATTTTTGTTGTCATAGGAACAACATCAAAAATCACATTTTGCACTTATGTGTTTCTATCTTTTGTTATTACTATACTCAAAGTAGGACAAAAACTATGAAAAAAAAAATTATAACTCAATTTAGCCACGCTAAAAGAAAAGAGAATCCTATGGCTCTAATATATTGTTAGAGTGTGAAAATAGTATTTCTATTATTTCTAATACATGACTATAATATATATATAGAGTGTGAAAATAGTATTTCTATTATTTTTAATATATGACTATAATATATATACACATACATATACATATACACACACACATACATATACATATAGACATACACATACATATATATATATATATATATATATATATAGGTCTAGAATTAATCTAAATCTCAAGAAGCTATAATTGAATGCATATAAATTAATTTTGCAATCAGTTTTATAACTAAAATTGTTATAGTTAACTTACTCTGATTAGAACAATAATCAATCCTATAATTGAGTTACTATATTTACAACACAAAGAAGAGGTTGGAACAGAGACCTCTCGGGAGACAAAGGATACTAATGATAGTTGAGCCACATCTCATTGGCAAGCAAGAGCTTTTAAAGCTTTTCATCTGAAAAAAGGATGGCATTGTAAAAAGGAGGACGCTGACAGCTCAGAACAGACTCTGCTTGAGGCATTCAAATGGCAGTTATATCATTCATCCCTCAATTGTTCATAATACTGATCCTATTATAAATTGTTGTTGCTAGGATCAATGGAGCTTCTTTAATAGCAGCTGTGAAATTGTTTACAAATATATTTCTGGATCAAAGATCGTACTGTAAGGCTTTCTAACTAAAAGATCAACTAATTGAGTTACTTAGATGAGCTTCTTAAGCTTATTCATCTGAAGGGGACGGCGTTTTAAAAAAGAGGATGCCGATCACTCATATCAGAGAGCATTAATGAGAACCAAAGGCATTGCTTATAATTTATGCTTGCAAAAATACCAGTTTGAAGTGGTATCAGACAATCTGTAGAATTATAAGACCAAAGTAATTGGCATGGATGTCACTTGGAGGTGATAAATACTTACCCTGTATAATCTCCATGTTGATGGTGTGATTAAACATAACATAACACTTATTTACTTACCTTTTTCCTTCCATTTTGTTAGTGATTGATTCCTATTATCACTATCTTACGTGACACCAAATTTTCCCTTGTTCCAGTTTTTCCAAGGATACAATTCACAATTGCTACAATCTCCCAGTTACATAACCAGAAGGCATGCTGTCAAGGTAATACAAGATTCACAGGAGTAATCTATATTTTGCATCATTTGTTGATTTATATTTTTTATGATAAAATCATCTTCGTCCAAATTTATTTATATTGATTTTCTATATAAAAAAATTACAGTGGTATATGTCTAAATCCCATTGCTGGGAATTAATAAGCTCAAATATTTGAAAGCAACTATAAGCATGAAAAAAAAAAGTGAAAGGGGAAAATCCTTTTTGATTTTATTTTCTCTGAAAGCTTTCCTTTATTGTTTTTTCCCAAAAAAAAATCAGAGACATTTGTTAAGGAGAAATATAATACAACATCTTTTCTGACTAGCATATAACGTGCTTCAGCTGTTGGGAGACATGTTACTTGACCGCTCAAATTCTGCTGTGATGGTTCGGTATGTGAGTTCATTGGAGAACATGAGGATCTTGATGAACCTTTTCTGCTTATCTCTCTCTCTCTCTCTCTCTCTCTCTCGCCACCTCCCTCTCTGATTTACCATATTTGCACACAGCATGTGCATGTGTTTGTATAAAACCTTAGTATTTCTGTGCCACTATAAATCTTGGTTCCTTCATTTGCAGGATTCAAATAAGACAATACAACTGGACACGTTTCATGTGTTCAAGGTAGTGTAGTCAGATATTTGGATATTGTAGATATTTTGTCTGCTTTTATTGATCTGTCATCTTTTAAATAACTTTTTGTAAATGATAGTTATTTGTAGCAAATCAAAAAAAGCCTCCTGAGATCATCAGTGTACTTGTTACAAATAGAAGCAAGCTCCTTAGGTTTCTTGGCGACTTCAGCATTGATAAAGGTAGAAGTGATATAATTAGAAAACGAAGTTCAGAAGTTTGTAGTCCTTGTTACCTTATACTAGATTGCTAATCAAAACAAGGATATTAATTCTGCTTAATTAGTTTCAGAGGACGAACAATTTGAAGCTGACAAAGCTGAAGTCATCAAAGAGATCGCCGCTCTAGAAATCAGCGGTGAGCGCTCATTCACAGATGCAGATGAGTGTGAGTTTGAGTCCTAAATTGTCCTTAAATTTACAACATTTTTGCATTTGGGAAACAGTTTAGGATCTAGTTTATCCATGGTCTTTGTTACTTCCGCCAGAACTTGTACAAGAGTGCTCCTATTTTATTATATGTATGTTCTGTTTAGATATAAATGTCTTTGAAGCACCTGTGCCTTTAGTCAAACTGCATTTCAGGTGCTGTTAATTATTTCATCCCCTCGTTGAATACTGTAAAATCTTATCAACCATGAAAATCTCACCTCTCCAGAAATCAATGATTGCTCATGCACAGATGCTTGTGGAGATATTGCTCACAGAAAATCCCATCTTCCTATGACTTAAAAGAGTAGTCTTCCGAAACAGTTTTCGTGATATTTTTGAATAACCACATAGTTTTCCAAAATGAAGGTTGACATTTTCCAAAACCGAATTTCTACTTATTAATGCTTTCCGACCGCATGCCTCAGTATTTGTTTGAAACTTTCCATGTCATGACAGGATGTTTCCCAATCATCGCCTGCTTTTCCATTAATCAGATAATGCATGAACCAGAGAATGACAATTGCCTCCTAGAGCTCCTCCCACTCTGGAAGTGCTCAGGGGTCATATTATTACATTTCAATCGAGTGCTTACTGGGCCATGCTGGACTTCGTTTAGAAAAGTTCTGTGGCTATGACTACTAATTGGACCAATCCCATGCATGACTTCCCAGGTATGACAAACCGCCACAGGCATTAGGTGCAGACCTGACGAGGAGATAAAACCAGCTTTCTAATCTCACCCTCAACTCCACACAAAAATACAATAACCAAAGAAGACTATGATGATGTTATCCTCCATCCATGCAAGCAGGCATGCCTGCCTGCCTGCTGGCTAGAATATGGCAGATCACAGAATTTCCCAAAAAGAATAAATAGCAAGGCTGTATTTGTAAATCATGACCAAATAAAACAAACACAGGCTCTATTAAAACATATATGTGATCCAAAAATACATCAATTGTCATGTAACAGACTGCCGAAAAATAAAAATACAAAACCAAATCTCGCTAAATACATCAATCGTCATGTAATAGACTGCCGAAAAACAAAAATACAAAACCGAATCTCGCTAATGAACTTCTAACCAGGAGATATACATATAACACAGAGCAAGTTAATTGACGTTAAACCAACCATCAGTTACGCAGTCTGCTGTGCCCTGGAGCCATATACATTTTCTCCATTAACATGCTTATCAGAACTTGCAGCTTTCTTTCTCTTAATCACAATGAACCAAGTTACTGCTTCCATAACAGCCGCCACAACCACAAGAAATATTAGAACACCAGTATAAGCCTTTTTCCAGTTATCCTCACTGTCCAAAACTTCAAATCCCTCAAAGATATTAGCAATGCTCAGAATCACGGTAGTATATCCGATGGTGTGGTGGTATATGTTCCAATACAGTCTGTATTTGTGGTCTGGCTTTGGCCTCAAAAGCAAGGCAAGCACCTGCAAACAGGGCGGCAATGCATTATTTGTGAGAAGACTAATCTATAAGGTAATTTTACATTACTTGAGTAGAAATTATAGTGGGGACAATGATTTTTTTTTGCCGGAGAAGACAGGACCTAAAAAAGTAAGTCCGTCTCTTTATACTTTCTGTTTTTTCCCTTTTGAAATGGTTGCTAGGGTGGATGGTTTCTAATAACGTTGATGGAATGGGACCTTGCAGACAGGTTCCCTCCCAGATGCCGCAGTGGCTGATCTTGATGGGGTCGCTCATTCCTTCTGCTATTTCTTTTTTTAGTTAAACTACGTTTACTCCCAGAATTTTTTTTAGCTTTAGAAGGTACCATGATGAATCTTAGACTCATAATATATATCACGAGTTTCTCTCAGCCTTCCACTTTGATTGGACGGTAATTCTAGAAGCCAGAAGCGGGATCTATATTTTAACAACAGTTTCTTTCTCGGAGTGAACTTCTTTTGTTGGATACCCTTAAGAGTACTTACAGCTGGGTCTTCATGCACTTAAAACCCTTCTTTTGCTATGAGGAAAGAAATCTAGAAACTATCGATACCATGTTGTATTAATGGAGGCTGAGAGAAGTTTAATGACAATCAAATTTCAATTAATTGCTTTAAGCTAGAAGAAAGAAAAAAAGCGATGTGCTAGTAAAAATACCTGAAGGGTTCCAAGGGCGAAGATGATCATGCCAAGATTTCTGTGGGTTTCATAGGAAATTCCAGGACTATCGCTTCCGAGTTTTATACCAGTCGCCCATCCAGCAACACCGACAGCATAACCAGAAGTTTGGCACGTAACATGCAAGTAAAACCATGCTGGACCTGCTGACTTGAACACCTTTAGGTACCTAGCTATAATGATTCCCACAGGCATAAGAATTCCCCAACTCACTGCATTTAATACTCCATGAACCTGAAAAAACCAGTTAAATCACCTTAAGAATTACAAGTTAGAAAAAAAAAAAATACAAGTTAAACCCATGCCCAGATAGCATCCTCCTATAGCTATACATACTGCATAATTAATTGACCATCCACTTACATTTCTCTTTCGTTGTTTTGAGGTAGTTCCACCGGTTGTTGTTACTGATCCATCTATAAAATCTACAGTCCCCATCGATTTCCCATTTTGTCCTTCGGTGGGATGTTCACCAGGATTACCTCCATTCATAGGACCTTCTTGCCAAATTTGGTTGGTCGAACGCAAGCTATCTGTAAGCTGAAGTGTTGCAAATATTATCATATCCCCATTGGAGGAAAACTCCGCGGCAATACTGGGGACATCGAAAATCAATCTACCAGGTTGCATATTTGGGTTTTTATTTAACTGGGTAGTGTAAGCAAGAATGGAGCCATTGGGGTGTTGGTACGCTACAAGAGCCTGTGAACCAGCCATCTCTTGCCCGCTAGGATTTAGAGCCCATGATATCCAGTTAGATGTCGATGCTCCAGATTTGCGGAATGCAATATCAGCTGTCAAGTTCGATGGGTGGTAATTCCAGTGAAGAGAACAGCTCAACTGTGGAAGGTCATTGCAAGTGCTGTACGATCGGTTTCCAGAGAAAGTATAGTTTCCGCAAGTTTGAGCCAGAGATGGGACACACAACGAGATCAATAAAGTGCAAGAAAACAATAGAGTTGTTAAAGACTTATCCATTGTTGGTTGGCTGGTTGCTACTTATAGAAGCAGGGATTGATGTCAGGGATGAGATGCCTTCGGAGGAGGATTTAAGCAAGTTTCAGCCCCTAAATGGAATAACTACTGAAACTGTTTCCTGATGAGGTTCTGGTTCCTGTGGGTGGATTAGAGAGTTGTGAATCCAGAAACTCGAGATTTATAGGATTCCTCTTGTAAGAAGAGAGGAGGCGTCTTCCGAGGAAAAAGCTATCGAGGGAAAGTGATATATACAAAACTGCCAAGATTAGCTGTGCGCATAGTTTTCAACAGAAGCTTCCTTAAACTACATACAAGTTGACAGAAAAGAAAATCCCATGGAAAGAAAATTATTATAGATGAAATAAATAGAGAAGCTTTTGGGCTAACCTCATATAGCCTTGATTAGTATTCTCGTAGTTATTATATTTGTGATTTAAAAAAAAATATTTTATAAAAAATATTTTTAGTTGAGGTTGGTTTTAAAAAAATAAGTGTTTGGTTAAAATTATAATTGAAATTGAGATTTAATAAAAAATAATTTAATATGTTTGGTTAAGAATGCTTTTGAAATTGAGGTTATAAAATAATTTAAAATAAGATATATTAATAATGATAGTTTTTAATTTAAATATTATAATTTTAACTATTGATATTATATCATGAAATAAATAATACTTTATATTATTGTTTTATTAAAATATCTACAATTCCATCATGTATGAAATACATCCGACAAGAACTACAGTTTTTTTAGTTTTTTAACGCACAATAACATGAGGTAAAATATAACTAAGAATAAAATTGGAATTGTGATCAAATTCTGCAAATGTTACATCATTAAGTGATCTTTGTTTAATTTATATAACATTATTGAATAATATTAAATACTAATTTTTTGAATAAAAATAATTTTTTTTTTACTGGTCGGATTTGGTTCAATACATTTTAAACTTTGAACTGGAACCGGTCCGACCGAAACAGTATAGCCAATATGTGTTGGTCGTTGTTTACTGTTGTTAAAAAAGTAATTTCTCGTTGATTTAATTGAGATTTAATAAAAAATAATTTAATATGTTTGATTAAAAATGATTTTGAAATTGAGGTTATAAAATAATTTAAAATAAAATATATTAATATTGATAGTTTTTAATTTAAATATTGTAGTTTTAACTATTGATATTACATCATGGAATAAATAATACTTTATATAAAATATTTTTTATTATTTTATTAAAATATCTACAATTCCATCATGTATGAAATACATCCGACAAGAACAACAGTTTTTTTAGTTTTTTAAGTACACAATAACATGAGGTAAAATATAACCAAGAATAAAATTGGAATTGCGATCAAATTCTGCAAACGTTACATCATTAAGTAATCCCTGTCTAATTTATATAATGATATTGAATAATATTAAAAAATAGTTTTTAGAATAAAAATAATTTTTTTTTTACTGGGTCGGATCTAGTTCAATACATTTTAAACTTTGAGCTGGACCGGTCCGACTGAAACAGTATAACCTAGCCAGCTACACTATTCATGTTAATTAATTAGCATGAACAATGTGTAAATATGTGTTGGTCGTTGTTTACTGTTGTCAAAAAAGTAATTTCTCGCTGATTCGATATAATTATGTTATATAATTATGTTTGTAACGCAATAAAAGGTGGTATCTATGAACAATAAAATACATTTTTTTAACTAAACACAGCTTTAAGTGTTTGTTTTTATATTTTAAAACTGTTATTGAAAAGGATATTTTTTATTTTTTTAATTAATATTTTTTTATTATTAGTTTATTATTAAAAATATTTTTTTAAGAATATAAAAATATTACAAGAAACCTCTGAAACAGACAAGAACAAGTGGCCGAGACAAAGCTCTCATGATTTCCAGCTTTCACAGCAAAGCCTATGAAAGACGAGACAATCTCGATTAAATGATTTAAAT